AATGACTTTTAGACTTCCTAAGATTAATTCCTAATTAAATATCTAATTTATTAATATTTATCATCTATAATCTATATATATAAAAGAAAAAATTAAAAAAAGTCTATACCTAAATTGCTATACTTTTCCTCTTCTCATAACTTTTTCCTTTAATATAATTTATGTGGATAAAGTATTATCCTTTATGATAACTAACGAAATTTAATAATTTGAAGGGTGCAAATCTGCAAAATGGAGACGCACACATTGATAATGTCCTCTTGATTATTATTAAAGAATGACTCTAGCTTCACAAATTTAAATTCATTGATGCTTAATTACATGATAAGAACTTTTAGTTGTTCTTTCTACATGGTTTGCTAACTTTAATTTTCTTTTTCATATTCTTCATTTATTTACTATTATTTTCTAATTACTTATTCAACTTTTATACTCTTAATATTCATAACTCTCATCTTTTCATATTCATAACCTCTAAATATTTAAACTAGCACTTTAAGATATCTTTTGATATTCCTTCTATTCTATCTATATAAATTCAACTTCTTTATCTCATGAAATCCCTACCAAGATTATTAGGCTATTAATATTTTTATTCTATAGTTAAAGTAGATGAAGAAGACTCTTGAATTTTGATAGGATATGGAAGGAATCGATAAGAACTCGGAGAGTTATGTACTAATTTTGTACTTATTTTTTCATCTATATATGTATCAGTCTTATAAGAATAATGTCTACCTTGTATTTTTTCTTAAATCTGTTTCTTTTTGTCTTTTTTTTTTTCTCTATTAGACTTCTTAATTTAGTTTTCTATGAATGTTTTATTGTCGTAAGTCTTTATACTTATTTTGTAATTGTTGCATTTTATTGTTCATTACAATTTACATATATATATTTTCATGAAATTTTAGTCATTCTAACGTATCTATAAAAATTCACATGAAACACACGTGTGAAGCACGTGCTCAGAAACTAGTAATATTATAAGTGGAAAGCTCTAAAGTGAAAAGTTGAATTACAATTTTGCCCTTCAACTAAATTAAAATATGATTAAATATAAATATTTTAATTACATAATGGTAGAGTTGAAGTTCTTAAGCCCTTTAATAATTAAATTATCATTTTCTTGATAAATGAGTACATTGATATTGCTGTTAATAGTAATCATAAATCTCATAATGGAAGAATTTGAAAAGTTATGATATGGAAAGTCATTCATCACTTTAATGTAGAAATCAATTTTAGGATTGAAATTTGAATCTAAAGGGTCATTTCCTAATGCTATTAATATTTTAACTACATAATGGTAGAATTTGAAGTTCTTAAGCCCTTTAATAATTAAATTATCATTTTTCTTGATAAATGAGTACATTGATATTGCTTTTAGTCGTAATCATAAATCTCATAATGGAAGAATTTGAAAAGTTATGATATGGAAAGTCATTCATCACTTTAATGTAGAAATCAATTTCAAAATTAAAATTTGAATTTAAAGGGTCATTTCCTAATGCTATTTAAGAACCAACTTACAAAGATGGAAGCTCACAATAGAAAATTGAATTAAGGAAATTGCACAATTCAACATGATAAGATAAGAGAGTTAGAGGTTGCAAGTGAGGATAACCAAAAAAATGCTGAAAATTGGTAATCAAGAAGAAAAAATAGCAGCGGAAAAAAAGAGAGTAAATTTTATACATGTGTAGTATTAAACAGTGAACAATCTTATCTGGATATGTTGTATCTAACAATGACAAAGTTTTCTTTTCAGAGCATGAGGACTTTCTTTGCAATATCCTCAACTTTTCATTCTTGCTTTCTTTCTCCATTATAGATTTTTTCTTCCATGAAGCATTTAGAATTGTATGGGTGTTGGACTTGAAGTATAGATATCAATTTAAGGTATATGTAAATTTTCTTATTGTGCATTTAAATGAGAACCATTAATCATTTTTGTTATTCATGTTTGCACCTACTAATATACCATATGTTTGGACCTAATAACTTAAAAATATAACTCATTATTTTAGTTACCAAACTAAATTTTGCAGGCTTATCAAATGTCTAATCATTTGACATATAATAAGGAAGTTATTTGAATACATTGATTGTTCATCTATTTTAAATTATTTTATTTTTTGAATAATTTGTGATACTGAAAATGTGATTTTGACAGTAATTCATACCTTTCACAGGACTCACGTGCAAAACACGTGTTCAAACTAGTTAGAAAGATAAGGATGTAAATATTTTTTTAAAATAGAATGATGTATAAATTATGAAAGGATATGTAGATGATAGGGGTACAAATTGCAAATCATTCAATATCCTTAGTTTAACATAAACTATATTTTAGAACAGGTTACTGCATTATTGTGGACTGGAAAATGGTATTGGCTATGCTACAGGCAACCCTGGAGGCCCTATAGTGTTGTCAATTTTTAGTACCACAAGTTGTATTAGCCAAAGTCGGTCAACAGTCAAGTGCCCCCGCCCCTCTTTTTGGTTA